TACAGATCAATCAGACTACATCGTAGCCTCCATTTAATACCGATAAGACAATCGCCCGAAAGTTGAAAGATCAATGAGAACATTAAATATATTAGAAAATGAGACAATGCAACTCCATAATGACATCGGACACGTATACTAGTTCTGGAAGGGCGTTATCACAAAGATGGACAAGCGGAGCGAACGAGCAGATAAGAATTTATGTCTCATGAGACAATGTACTCGCTGCAACGCACAGTCGTTCAATAAGTACTTCCGCCTCTGGCAGTAACAATTGCAATTACCAAGTGTAGCATTGCTTGGATGTACAATTATTTTAATGAGAAATCGACCGAAACAAAAAAGTTGTCTCTCAGGAATTACTTGAAAATTAGTTTCGATATTGCAATAATAGAACTGTCGCACTCAGTATAACCTGATACACGTAACACCATCTAAACATTTAAACAGGTTTTGGCAGAGCTCACATTTATCAACGTTCAAGTGTATTGCCTAGTATTTCGGCGCTGGAATGTACCCCTATCTAATGAGATGTCATATTTTTTTTCTCTCCGTATTCAGCATTCTTCCGCTAATGTAATACAAATTCTGTTTAGCCTGAATGTTTGGAAACATTCAAGGAACATTCTGTCGGCCATTCGTGTTATTCTCAGTCTAAGAATGATAAGACATTTCTAATTTCCATTCAGTTATTTCGAACAGATGGAAACGATCGCCACATTACGATGTTTTGCATTTACGAATATGTCAAATTTTCATATCCAGGCCCACGATAATTCACTTCCGCTTCGTTTACATCCGGCAGTGCTAAACGCTGGGAATTCAGATATCTCTGAAGACTGCCATAATCCTCCAAAACCGACTGCAACCTATCATGCCACTCATTCGTGAAGTCTGACGTAAACCAGGTCCGACGTCCCAGTCACTTCAGGAACTCTCGTGGCCATACAGGACCAAGTCCTACTTTCCTGGAGAGCTTCTAAATTAAGAGCGCTACACAGACTTATCAGGTCTATTTTTAGATAGCCGAGCCACGCAGCCACAACGGAACAACTGCTCTGTTAGTGTTTCTTTACTATAGAATGCATAAAAAAAACCAACCGCATTACAGTAAACATTTAAGAACGAATGCGATACAGTGTTGCCAACCAGTCACCACGCATTTAATTGGTTTAATCTATTCCAATTGCCCAGTGATTAGTATGATTTAGCGAGCATTTGTCCCTTTGCTGAGGTCAGCCCGGCTATTTTTAGACGGACAATTAGTGTGTAATCGGGAGAGCGAGGGGCATAGGGCTAACAGCTGTGTCGCTTTACTGCGACGATTAGTCTCCCGCCGAGCCACAGGGCTCAATGACTCCCCGCCGCAGGCTGAGACCCGCCTCCTTGCGCTCCACTCCTACTTTTTATTTACTTGCAAAATATCTTTTGGGCTATTTCACCAAAACGTTATCCGTATCAGATAACACTGATAATAAAGTAACACTTTTAAATGCTCTCGAATAATGAAGTATTTCCACCTGGCCTGTTATCAGATAATAGAAGCAACCTATTTTAAATGTACTCGAAAAATCAAGTATTCCCACCTGGCATTTTAAAGGTGAACCGATGAAGAAGGAAACAATTTAAAAACCGCACTTCGTTAGCGAATTGAAACGAGGTTAAATTTTCCAATTGATGTTTAGTATTGATAAGTGAATTGCTCGAAAATAATACAAATTTGGTCTTGGAGGTGGGAGAGAACCCTTGTAATGCTTGCTATGTCTGTACGAAGAGAAATGAAGAAAGTTCTTAGAGAATAATAAATTTGTTGCTTTTGAAATGAGTCGAGTTCGATAATTATTTTGTCGGGTATATGGCAAATGAAAATTTTTCACCGAAGTTTATTAGTTTCCCCCTTAGAACTCTCAGTAAGTTTCTTACGAGAGTTTTGCAAGTTCGTGCCGCCAACCTACAGAAAAACTGTAAAACATAAACAAAATTTACTGTACTTCACTGAAATTAATGTTCCACAATAAACGATTTCATTAATTGTTAGAACGATCTTATTAGGTTTGAACAATAATTTCCCAAAATTAAATTTTAACGTGCGTACAACGTTTTGACGACATATTCCTTTGTCATTTTCAATTCCTGCAGAAACTTATAAATTTTGAACCATATGAAAGATCATTGTTACATTAAAAGAAGATATACATTCAGGTTGAAATCAATCTGTTATTTCAATAAAAATATACTGATGAAAGAGGTAATTACTACATCGGTTAACTTGAAAGGAAAGTTAATGAGTGGGAGGGGTTGCCGTGGTAGGTAGTTCCTAGCTACTATTGAGATGATTTTCCTCATATGCGTTAGCAACATCACATAGTTTAACTTTCATAGGGTAAACCTGCGATTTTTTAATTTATTTACAGGTCGACTACACATAGATATTGGGAAAGGGAAAACAACCTCAATCTCATTTCTAGAATGACGACTCTCTTCAAACGAAAATGAAATATATATCTTGCAATAGTATTTCATTTTTTTAAATCTTCGGTTGCTGGTTATATATATATATATATATATATATATATATATATATATATATATATATGTAAGCTACCTTTTACACTTAGTTCATTTGTGAACTTGGTAATCTCTCTTCATATCCTATTACGAATGGGCAGTCCGATTCGAAAGCCTGGCGCCAGGCAATTGCCGCAAGAAGCGCCTCGCGCGACCTCAACTGCACTTGCGACTGCGCCCGCACGCCGCTCTGACGTCACCGTCAAAACAACGGGCGCTCGCGCCGCTGCACAACGGCGGCGGCCGCGCACGCGCAATGCGGCCCCTCACACGCGGCGCAATTGGTCCAGGGGGCGCGGCCGTCCTCAACGCTCGACGGAGCCCAGCCACTCGATTGTGCAGTCGAGGTAAAGCAGTAAATCGTTTTCCAATTACAAAATCGAGATAGTCTAAAAACCTACTGCATCCTCCTTAATTAGCTTTAAAACAGGTTCAAACATTCCTAAATTCAAATATTTTATGTATTTTTCTGAATGATCCTTCCTAGATAACCTCGGTAATTAGTTCAAGATATTGTACATACATAATGAAATCATTTCAAAAATGATGTATACTATGTAACTTGAGAACCCTTGAAAAATAACTTAGTCGAACAAGGATAATAAAGTTTTTTTAAAGAAAACACTCGATCGATGACATACTCGGAAACTAAGGAAAACACTTTTTCAGTAATTTTTTAATAAATAATTTCTTCTTTTTTTACGTTTCGACTCCGAGTTGGAGGGGGGTCTTTTTCATAAGTATATTGTCCACGTTTCTTGAAAATACGATCATAAACAATCAGTTAGCATTTTTATATAATGTTCAGTTGTTACTTCTTCAGAACATCCAGTTCCCTTAAATGTATTCTGGTGAAAACCACCACTTGCACAGCCGGCGCGAGCACACGTTTCCAGTCGTTTTCTATGTTTATTATCTATATATTCTATATGTCTATTACACTTGCACCAAATTTCTGGATTACCAGGTTCCAAACTCACCGCATTAAATCTTATATTTCCATGAGATACTTTATTTCTCTTCTCACTCGATCACTATTTACTTTCATTTCGTCCATTTTCTGACGCACAACCCCTGTCTTCTTTTATGGGAATATGTTGATGTCGCACACCCACCACAGGGTCATCAACAGAACCAGTGTTACAAACCAAGCTAAAGCATGGAATTGTGGGAGGCAACTGGATTTTGCATCCTCCCAAACCAAACCCGCGAGGTTTCGAGTAAACATTTTTGGTTGCGTTCACCAACTTTTCACTTTCATTCTTATTTTTTTTTTTCCTGTGCCCCTTACAGTGTGCCACTAGGGGCGTCTTCTCTCTTGTTGGCCACCGCATGCCTCCGCCCCCCAACAAAGCGTGTCCTTCCCGCCCCTGCACCCCCCCCCCCCGCGTGAGGCTTATCGAACGCCGTGCTGCGCGGCGTGAGTCAGGGCAATTCCCGCGGAGGCCGCGAGTTCGAGCATTCGCTAGCGTGACCGCGGCCGGGGCGGCGACGGCGCCCGCCCCCGGACGCTGACGGGCCCTCGTCGCTTCGGCCACTCGGCGATCGAGCGTCCGAAAGCGGCGGCACGCCATCGACCGGACCCTGCCGCGAGCCCGCACTCCCCCGTGCGACGACACACCGCGCCGCGCCACGCCGCGCCACGCCACGCCACGCCACGCCACGCCACGTGCGGAGCGTGGCAAGGTAACAAGGTACCGTCGCGTAGGAACTTGTTTTATTTATTTATTTTTTTGTTTTATTTTTTTTTCCTCTCTCAAATTTGATTCCGATCAAACTGACCTGTTGTCCACGTTGATTCAGGGAATGCGCCTACACAAACTACATTCGATCGTAGCCATGAATGACAACCGCAGAAGCGATCAGATTTTTTTAATCAAGAAGCAGACATCGTGACAATTTGTCTCTCTTTGTAGAATACGAAGGGCGGCAGTTCCAGAGAATCGACGAGATCCTATCCAACACATCAGGTCGGTTCGCGCGACTCTGATGGCTGTTTCGAGGTCTCCAATTGAAGACTCCCATTTGCAGCTTCTGCTTGCAGGAGAGAAAGAAGCCGTCTGTAAAGACGTGATGTTGCGTCGACGTTACTTCGACAGACGGAGTTTTGTCTCGGGTCTTCTTTCCCTTGCCGAACTATATGGCAGGTTCAGTAAACAGGACCAAACAAACAGAACAGAACAGAATAGAACAGAATAGAATAGAACAGAACAGAACAGAACACAAGAGGGGAAGACGGAAACAAGCACAGCACAGCACACCGCCAAGCAAACACTTTCGTGGGGGAAAATACCTGCGTCTACTCACCCCGGCTCACCCTGTGCCTCCCCCAACAGGCTACGCCCTCCACCTCTCTCGCTCCAAACAAGAAAAGCTACTCATCTACTACTCAACTGGAGGGGGCTGCACACTTACGTATCCGAGGGTCGAACCATGAGGTGGTCCTGGTCTGGTGATTGATGAAGTAGATCTCGCCCTCGGGCGTGGTAGCCTGCTCCCAGCCTTCCGGCAGAGGGCCGAGGTCGGCCTGCTTGGTCCCTGCAACACCACAACCACTGCCAGTCACTAACTCTGCTGGTACGAGGACCCCCTTCCCTGCCCACCCCCCTGGCAACTGCTCGGTTCCGCGAGGAGCCATAATTAGCGGTAAGTGTTTACAGAAAACTTCGTAAGAGATCCTCGATTTTCTGAATGAAATTTATATCTGGTTTATGATCAATGCTACATTCTTTATTCTTCAAAAATATTACTTTCTTTTCTTTAAATTTTTAACTTTTATGTTCAGAAATAATTATAATGCTATAACCCCAACCTAATTACTTGCCTTGATGTTAAGTTTGATATCCAATCTATTTCGATTTGGCACTCATTAATACACCAGACCATGATGATTCTATTATCCCACCCCCCGAGGAAGGGAGTACACCCGCAAACTGTTGCCAGAACCACTCACCAATTCATCGAAAAATAAGAGAGTTTATAGTCTACGGTTGCTGCAGAAATTTCGCAGAAAAGAAGCCCATGCTCGATGCTAGGATGGAAAAAAAAAGCTTCAGAAATAAATCGGTCGCTCTAACAAAATCTTCTCATAATTAAGTAAGAATACTAAGTCACAGATGGTATGCTCGTTGCGAGAGATAGAGAGTAATAGAGTAGACCAATACAGAAATTCAAACAAGAAACCGTCTAGAAGTAAACCCCTAAGCCGTAGGTACAACACCGATGGTACCGCAAAGATTATAGAATGGAAGAATTTTTAAGCACACTTACCCTTGAAATTCCAAAGAAATTCAAGAGAGAGAAAACGAAGGAAGTCATTTTTAGGTGCGCGCGATGGAAGAAATTTTTAAAAAAAGATAAAAATTCTGAGATCCTAAAGAGAGAAAGCTCCTTCTAGGGGGCCAGAGTTCGAGTCCAGAAAGTAGGTCATGTGAACGATCAAACGAAAAAAAAAAAAAAAAATAGTGCCCATCAATTTTCAAGAGACGTCGTCGGATAGAAGATGGGAGGCGAACCAGCATCCAGTGCAGCCACACGGTCACCGCCGCCGCTGCCGACGCCCGCGCCACTTATCAATGAACCAAATGAGCCCGCACAATGCCGCCGTAGTTTACGCTCTATATTTAGCCCATGACTAACCGAGATCGTCCCCCACATTTCCATCTGGGGGCCGGCGGACCACGGGCACCGGGGCCTCCGGCCCGGCAACGCCTGTCGCCAATGGAGCGTCCAATCCACTGGAAGCGACTGACGAGACGTGCTGACAGGGATCGTAAATCTTCGTTCCCGCACTCCGCCACACGTGGATTTCTCGAGCCAATTGCCGGCAGCGGACAGGACGCCTCCAAGGGCGGCGGCGGCGGCGGAGGACCCGCAGCGCGGCCGCGCGCGCGCGGGGCGTGGCGTGGCGTGGGCGTGCGTGCGTGGCGTGGCGTTGCGCACGTGCGTGCGAACGCACCCGTCCCCAGAGGAAGCGGGCGCAGACACTGATTGCAGGCCATTCATTAGGGTAATTCATTGAATGCACGCCGGCGGCGCGGCGCGGCCGCGCGGCCCGCCGCGCCTTCGTTGCGGCGAGCGCCGGCGCGCGCAGGGGCAACGCGGCGCGGGCGGGGGCGGAACCCGCGCCTATTTATAGTGCGATCTTTCTGTGCGTCGGAGGCTCGCACGGCGCGGCCCGGTGCCTGCGGCCGTCCTCCGCCGCGGGGTGGTCGCTACGCAGCGAGCGCCAAACCTCTCAGCTTCCTGTGGAGATACGCGAGTCTCTCCCGCGCGACGCGAACATTTGCACAGCCCAAATCTCCTCATCAAACAACCTGTGTCGGAGGAAATGGAACTTTGATGCCTGTTGACACACCAACTGCTTCAAATGTTACCGAAAAAAACACGATAGGCATGTTGTTGATGAGAAGTTGATGAGCTACTTCAATTTATCACATGATTGGCATGAACTGTTTAAAATGGTGTCTTATGTTCCAGGAGACAGTTGTTGCGTAATGGCAATACTTGTATTCATTCCTCATATGCCGACCTTAATGTTCATCCATCTACCTGCATTAAAAAAGTGAAAAGAAAAAGCTATTTACACCGGAAGGCGAAGCAAAATAGTAAAACACAATTCGATACCAGTCAAAGAGGATTAAAAATACCATTCATTCGAATAACAGACTTGAAGGAAGGTGACAATCATTCGACCACTAATGGGAAAAAAGCGAATAGCAGAAGAATATAAACATTAGCAGAAAATGAAGACCACGTCGAGACTACAAAGTCGGCACCCACGGCGCACCTGCGAACATAAGGCGCTCCACTTTGCAGGAGATACGGTCAATGAACAGACAGGTGTCTAGACAGCGAACCCGCAGATCGACACGGACGCGCTAGTAAGCACTGCATCCGGCAAGCCTTAACGCACCTGTGAGCAACTGAAGGAACTGGTCGACCGAAGGCAACTTTCATGTTAGGAGCTTCCAAAAGTACAGAGTCTGGGTTTAATATTCCTTACAAATGGAAAATACAGCTTCGGATTTGAAACACAAGATTCATTAATTTGGTTCTATCGTGTATTTTTACTTCTAAAAAGATGCCTGAAATTATGGATTATGTACGATGAAAGCAGATCTTAATATGTAGTCACACGAGTTTTTATTTTCTATTCGAATATTAATTAGGTACAATTCACTATATTCGCTTAAATGAATTTTTATGTTTTATTTTTAAATGAATGTAGTAAGTTATTGCTCATTACACTACCTCAAGGTAATTCTGAAAGTTTGCCCTTGCTTTAGTTTTAAATTTACTGTAAAGTTTCGCGATTTACATATTGTCAAATCCAGTGGCGAACCCAAGGTGGGAGTTTCATGGGCCTTTACTCCCTTCCAGAAGCCTGTGACGCAAAGTCACAAATATAGTTTTTCATATTAATTTTTTGTAGTATTAAAAATCATTCAACATCTCAAATAATTACCTTGAAAATAACAAGAAATCGACAAATGAAAAATATTTTAAGATTCAGCGAACATTGAAAATTCATCGTAAAGAAAACATGAAGTCGCTCGAACTTTAAACCTACGGCTCTCCCCTTCCCCAGAAAAATTCTGGTTGTGCCAGAACTCAAATCGCATTGTGGACAGATATATAATTGAGTGCCTTACCCTCACCGACCGTTTTCAGAATCAATTTTGAAAAGACAACACATTTCAAAAAAAAAAAATGAATTTGAATAGAAATTGTTTTACTACTACTACTATTATTACTATTATTACTATTATTATTATTACTATAATTATTACTAATATTATTACTATTATTATTATTATTATTATAATAACACTAAGAAAGGTTTATTTCACTCAAATTAAAGTGGACATTAAAAATCAAAATAATTTTCAGACGGACGGAAGCGAATGCTGATGAACACTTTCAAACGCACCAGTTTAAATTACATGGTGCTTGTACAGAAGGTGAATGAAAAGATGTTCCGAACAGTGTGCGAATAGTCTTATCGTATCATCAAGCAAGTATTCTCCCTCACGAGTAACGAATACACAGCCAGTATGCCGCATTAAAGTCCCGAATACAAAGCAACTGCCTGACATTCAGGATTCGAGTAACGTGCTCGCGAAGGCAGCCAAATTCTCCCCCCCCCACCACCACCCCATCCACAGAGCTCCGCGCCTTCTCCACAACGTGTACGTTACGTCAGTGCGCAGTGTCTGCACGCACGCACGCCCGGGGGCCCGCGCCTGCTCCCACGCGCAGCGCGACGCTCGCCGAGACGCTGGGGAGGGGGGGGGCGTGGGGGCGACGCGACAAGACGTGTCGCCTCGCGAGGCCGTCGCCCGCACGCCCGGCCGCCGCGCCGCGCCGGGGCGAGGCCGGCCGCAGACCCACGCGCCACTGCGCCCGGGCGACGCGGAGAAGACGCAATGGCTGCAATTATGTTACACCGACGGCGGAGCTGTAAAAGCGATTCCTTCTAATAGTAGTCTATTTACAGGCCGGGAGCTGTGTCTATACTTCAATTTTTCTACAGAGGTCGATGACATTGGGTCATTGTTACACCTCCTGCCTTATAAAATGAATATTTTTAACAGCGGTAAGCACATTTCTGAGGCCACGAGACCCATTGAGAAGACAGTTGCGAATTGATTAAAAAGAGATTCATTTTGTAAGGCAGCAGATGCAACAATGATCTAATGTCATCGGCCAATATCGAAGAATCGAAGTATAGACACAGAACCCGGCCTACAGATAGATTACTACTAGAAGGAATCTCATTGACAGTGCTCCGCCATCGGTGTAACATAATTGCAGGTTATATCCATGCTCTCATATTGTCAGTACGTTCGTTTACGGTTAGCTCATTTGTGTTTGAATTCATCCCTATCTTTTGTAATGCCCTCGCTCTACATGTTCATTTGATTCCAGACCCGTCATGCTCGCCCAGTCTTCGATTAACTCCTCCATAACATGCATCTCAAAATTTCTCATTCATTCTTCCAAAATCCATCCAGTTTCCTGAACATCTCATTTCAATCTACTGTAGGTAAAGAGCATCCAGTAAAACCTTTTGTATCTTCACCCGTTGATATTAGATAATGGAATAAATACTCCTCCCATGAACAGTTAACGATATGCACTCTTACACCTAACAAGCCGGTCCTCAAGTCAACGTTTCTATCGCAAATTTATTTCATGAAGAAAAGTGGAAGATAAAAGAACAGTTGTAATTTCCTAAATATGTTTAAAATTTAAATATTATTCAGAGTTTGAGGCCCAAGAGAAGCAGAAAATACTTCGGCGGGCCGCGCGGTATGCAACAGCTGTTCTACTTGTAATAGAAATGTGACATCGTGGAGGTTTTTTATAGAAACATGGAAGTTTTAAACAGCAATGATGAAGCAAAACCGCTATTTTTAACATTGAAGTTTTGTGCTCAATGTTTTGATAGTAAATTAATAATTCCCGTAATCACAATTTTGTAACAGTTAAAATATGAAATAACGTATGGTATTGTCATTATGTCATTCATATCA